CTACGAAGGTCTCGTTGTAATCGGCGAGGCGAACGGCAGTTTTTGCAGTAGGCGGCAGTGGGCAAAGCCTCCATGGTATTGCTTGTTTTTGTTCCATCTACGCCTCCGTATAACCGCGGAGTCGCAGCTTCCTTAGAAGTCATGGTACGAGTCGGGTACTCTTAAGCTGTCCCGTCACGCTTGACGGCGACGCTGCTATCTATATTCAATACTCACAGTTGCGAACCCTGTTCGTGCGATACTCGCAAGGTCTATGCCATGCCCGCCGACCATCTGCAGTTCGATGGTTCGTAGCGTGTCATGCAGGATGGCCGTGGCTCTGTGTGGCTGGGTGGTCTCAATGAAAGGCGTGCTGGGCTACACCGTAAGAGGGGTCTCGGGGGTTCACCTCGATGGTTATTGGGGCAAGCTTGTTTCCGAGTCAGGGCTCCGGCCCAGGGTTCCACTGTAGCTGTCGGACTTTTAGCCTTGGATTGAGGAGGGTAGGGCAGCAGCGGGCAGGCCCCTTCACACGCAAGAGATGGTGCGTGGCCGGCGTATCGGGCGTGCGTCTGGCACGTGCTTGACGCGTACGCTTGCCCTGGTGGGCCAGCTGCGTCGGGCGCGTGGGGTGCGCGGGGGTGTACGGGGGCGCTGGGTGCTCCTGCTGCCGCGACGTGTGCGCCGCGGTGGGCGCACGATCGGCCTTCCTATCTAGAGGAGGGCGAACGAGGGAGGCTGAGGTAGGTCGATGATCCTCAGGACGTGTGTTAGACCAATGTGTGTGTGTGTTACACCGTTCAGCCCCACCCGTAGATCATTACATCACCCGAGTCGTATGGAACGGTCTCGGTGGACAAACACACGTGAGCGCTAACACACGTTCTGAGGATCATCCAGTAGGATCAGGGGAATAAGACCATCCCGACACCCATAATCGGCGCTTGCTAAATGAATGGCCCTGGGCGTTTACTAAACAGCCCTGCCCCGTTCGAGTCCTTCCTTGGGTGCGTTTACTAAACGCCTTTGTTGTCGGGGTGCTTATTGTGAGGATAGTTTCTCTGCTCTCTATACAGGGGAGGGGGCTTGCCTGACATCGCGCGCACGCAGCCCACCCCTCGTCAGGATCGTGGACGGGGCGGGGCGTTCACGTGTGCGCTCACGCCGCCCGGATCCCAGCCCCGCCGACGCCTGCCTCGCCTGCGCCCGAGGCTTGCAGTCTGTTTCGCCTCTATTCCCGCGCCGCCCCCGAAGAGGAGGAGGAGGAGGAGGAGGAGGAGGAGGAGGAGGAGGAGGAGTAGGAGGAGGAGGAGGCAGAGGAGGAGGAGGAGGAGGCGGAGGAGGAGGAGGAGGAGGAGGAGAAGGAGCGAGGCGGAGATGGTGAAGTCCAGATCATTTCTCACAGGCAAGGGCTCATGTCCGAGAAAGCCCACTCGAGTGTGCGAGCCGCGGCCCTTGAGCGCCAGCCTAAGCCTCCCCGTGCCCGATAGCTGCAGCCGGGCGCGGGGAGCAACGAAAGCAGAGGAGCACGAGGGGGTGGAGTACCTGGACAAAGAGAGGAAGATGGGCCGACGTACGATCTACGGTTTCTGTCTCTTGGCATCGCTCGGACGTGTGCATTTTTCCTTCGACGAGGACCATTTCGGAGCATCCTTGATCATTTGGTGAAAAAAACACGCACGAAACCGAGAAAACATAGGGAATGGACGTCCGAGCGATGGCCAGGTCTGCGGTTTCCTCGTCGTGCTGCTGGTGTTGGGGTTATTGTTGCTGCTGCTGCTGCTGCTGCTGCTGCTGCTGCTGCTGCTGCTGCTGCTGCTGCTCCTCTTCAGCTCCCATCGCAGAGCTGGCCAGTTCACATGGTGTTCTACCCCCGTGAGGATCTTTGCGCGGTAAGTGGCAGGCCAGGGGGGCCTTCAACATGCGTGTAGCGAAGACCGCAGGAGGCCTCAGAAGGCTGGGCTTCAGGAAGCCATCGTGAAGACCCAAGAGCCTCCAGGGAGCCCAGGAGCCCCCCGGACGCACCCATGGTCCCGATGGCAGTGGTGATGTCGACGACGCTCATCGTGACGAAGTCTCGGTCGGAACGCACGGACCGCCCTATGCGTCGTAGCAGAGTATACATCGCGGCGGCATTCATATCCAGCATTGACTAGTACACCATAGCGCGGCACAGCTTGGCTTATTTCCCGGCTGGGCTCGTGGATCATTCAGGTTGGGTGTTGTTGGGGGGTCCAATGGGGCCTTTGGGGACTCTCTGGGGAGACTTCTGGTCCGCGAGGGAGGTTTCTACAAGACTCGTCAAAAATACATGGACGGTTTCTGTTCCCATCCATCTTGTGGTGTTGAGCTTCGTTTTGAAAAGACGGCGCCCCGCGTTCTCCTCCCGCCTCCTTCCTCCCCCTCCCCCCTCATCCTCCTCCCCCTCCTCCTCCCACTTCGGCACGCCATGCCGGCGTGGCCCCATAGGGAGCTCCACCGAAGGCCCCAGTGGTCCAGTTGACATGCGCCCCCGCCACCCATTACGGCACACCCCTCACGCGGTTTGTTGCCCCATAGGGATCTTCACCGAACTCCCCAGTGGCACAGTTTACATGCGCCCCCGCCACCAATTTCGGCACGCCCCTCACACGGTTGGAGGCCCCATAAGGAGCTCCACCGAAGGCCCCAGTGGCGCACTTCACACGCGCCCCCGCAACACATCTCGGCGTACCTCTCGCACAGCTCTTGCGCCATGGGAAGCCCAACCGAAGGTCCCATTGGCACAGTTTACATGCGCCCCCGCCACCCATGTCGGCACACCCCATCGCACGCTTCGTGGCCCCATGAGGAGCTCCACCGAAGGCCCCATTTGTACAGTTTACATACGCCCCCGCCACCCATTTCGGCACACCCCTCACGGGATTCGTGGCCCCATAGGGAGCCCCACCAAAGGCCCCAGTGGTACAGTTTACATGCGCCCCCGCCGCACATTTCGGCACACCCTTCACACGTTTCATGGCCCCATAGGGAGCTCCACCGAAGGCCCCAGTGGTACAGTTGAAATGCGCCCCCGCCACCCATTACGGCACACCCCACCACGCGGTTCGTCGCCCCACAGGAAGCTCCACAAAAGGTTTCAGCGGCACAGTTCACATGCGCCCCCACCACCCACTTCGGCACACCCTTCACAAGTTTCGTGGCCCCATAGGAAGGCCCACCGAAGGCCCCAGAGATACAGTTTACATGGATCCCCGCCACCCATTGTGGCACACCCCTCACGCGTCTCGTGGCCCCATAGGGAGCTCCACTGAAGGCCCCAGTGGCACAGTTTACATGCGTCCCCGCCACCCATCTCGGCACACCTCTCACACTGTCCGTGGCCCCATAAGAAGCTCCAGTGGCACATTTTCCATGCGTCCCCGCCACCAATTTCGGCACACACGTCACGGTTCGTGGCCCTATGGGGAGCCCCACCGAAAGTCCCAGTGGCACAGTTTCATTGCGCCCCACCACCACTTTCGGTACACTCTTCGCACGCTCCGTGGCCCCAAAGGGAGCTCAATTGAAGGCCCCACTGGTACAGTTCACATGCGTCCCCGCCAACCATTCAGCACACCCCATCACGGGATTCGTGGCCCCATATGGGAGCCCCACCGATGGCACAAATGGCACAGTTTACATGCGCCCCCGCCACCCATTTCGGCACCCCCCTCATAGTTTCGTGGCCCGTCTCCGCCACCCATTACGGCACACCCCTTACGCGGTTCGTGGCCCCATAGAGGGGGCTGCACCGAATTCCCCATTTGGCACACTTTACATGCGTCCCCGCCACTTCGGCACATCCCTCACACGGTTCGTGGCCCCACAAGGAGCTCCACCGAAGGCCCCAGTGGCACAGTGTACACGCGCCCCCGCCACCCATTTCGGCACACCCTTCACACGGTTCGTGGCCCCGTAGGGAGCTCGGCCAACCCGCCACATGTTTCTTTGCATTGCGCTGTGGACATCGTAACAGCGCGCTTGGCCGACACTTAAACGTTTTGCTTTTCACTTGGGACGACCTGCGCACGTCGCCGGGACTCCTTCGGGGCGACTGGCGCGCGTCGCCGGGACTGCGCGTTGCGCTCCGCACAGCACCTCGCTCGCCTGGCGACGCTCTGCCTAGCGGTCAGCACTTGCCCCGCTGTCGGCCAGCAAGCTAGCTTCCCTTGCTCCGCGCAGCGGACGACCCGCGCGCGTTGCCTGGACCCCTGCGGGGCTACTGGCGCGCGTCGCGGGGACTCCGCGCTGCGCTCTGTCCACCGCCGCGGTCATCAGGGCGCGAGTACACAGACGGGGAAACATCTGAGAGACCATCCCGCTCCGCTGCCTTCCCCTTCCCCCCGTCCTTGCCCGCAGTGCCCCGCGTTTCGTTTTTGCTGCGGCGCGCTGCCTACGAGAGCCAGTCGGAGTTTGCGCGCCCCCTCCTTCGTCTCATGTCACTCGCGGTATTCGCAGCTGCATATGGTTGGGGTTTTTGTCAGGCGAATGTTCGGCGTTTGCGCGGTCGGCGCTACTTGTTGCGTCAATGCTGGCATGAGGTTTTTGGCCCGCACGCAGTGGTGCCCGGAATCCAGCAGTGCCCTTGCAGCAATGAATAACGCGTTTTTGTTGACAAGTGCCCAGTTTGTCTGGCGCTCCGATTTTGAACGGCGTGTACATGTATGTTCGACGAGGCCTGCACGGCGTTTGGATTGTACCGACCTTCCAGGGGGGGGGCGTCGTGAGCCGTCAGAGGACATTTTTGTTGTTGGGCTGGGTCGTTCAGGGAGCTTCTTGGAACCCCATCGGGCTGTCGCTGGGGCCACCTGGAAATTTCCCGACATGACCCTCGTGCAGAAAAGCATGGAGGGTGTGCGAGATGGAAGTGCAGCACGATGAAATTGACCGTCACAGGGCCTCTCTTGAGTTCTGTCGAAGGCCTCTGCAGGTCTCCCTTGGCGCCTGTCGTGCCCCTGAAGGTTTCTTGGGACCTCTTGCGCCGCCTTGGAGACCTCTTGGGCCTTTACTCATCCCAGCGGCCTCCTGGGGCCGCCTATGATTCTGGTCGATGCGATTCGCTTCCCGGGCCAGGCCCAGGATTCCGATTCGATTCGATTCGGTTCGGTTCGCCAGCATCGTCCAGGGCCAGCTGGGGAAAGGCGCTGCGATCTGACTACGATTCGATTCGGGACGACTCGCTGGCGATATGATTTGATTTTGACGCGATCCGATTTCGCGATTCGAGCCAGCTCAGATTTTTCTCCACGGCGACCTCCCTGGCGCCTTGTCTGCTAGCCAGCCTTTGGGTCGTCTTGGGGAGAATCCAGCCAGCCTTTTTTATACATGGCTCTCGCATTGCATGTTGTCCAGACACGCCAAGCTTCTGAGGTCAAGAGCCTTGCCCACCTGGTCTCAGCTAGACCCGTGCAATGCCCGCAGCGGTGGGAAGGGATCTCTTAACAGTGGAATGTATAGTTTAACCATGACTTAACATTACGTTGTTGACAGCACGTAACCCCGAGTGAATTAACACTAGGTTGTTGACACTACGCTGTTGACACTACGTAACCCCCAGTGAATTAACTCTACGCTGTTGGCACTACGCTGTTGACACTACGTAACCCCGAGTGGGTCAACACTACGCTGTTCGCATTACGCTGATGATACTACGTAACTCAACTGGATTAACACTACGCTGTTTACACTACGCTGTTGGCACTACGTAACCGCGAGTGAATAAACACTACGCTGTTGACGCTACGCTGTTGACACAACGCTGTTGACACTACGTTGTTGACACTGCGCTGTTGGTACTACGCTGTTGGCATTAAGATGCAAGGGGAGATGCTCGACCCTCCTGTCTCTGACGCTACGCTGTTGACACTACGCTGTTGGCATGGAGATGCAAGAGGATATGCTCTACGCTCTTGTCCCTGACACTACGCTGTTGGCATTAAGGGAAGATGCAAGAGGAGATGCTCTACGCTCTTGCCTCTGGCACTACGCTGTTGGCATTAAGAGAAGATGCAAGAGGAGATGCTCTACACCCTTGTCTCTGACACTAAGCTGTTGGCATTAAGAGGAGATGCAAGAGGAGATGCTTTATTTACGCTCCTGTCTCTGACACTACGCTGCTGGCATTCAGAGAAGATGTAAGAGGAGATGATCTACGCTCCTGTCGCTGACGCTACGCTGTTGGCATTAAGAGGAGGTGCTCTACGCCCCTGTCGCTGACACTGCGCTAAAAGGAGATGCTCTACGCTCCTGTCTCTGACACCACGCTGATATGAGATGCTCTACGCTCCTATCTCGGACACTACACCGAGAGGAGATACTCTACGCTCCTGTCTCTGACACCACGTTGAGAGGAGATGCTCTACGCTCGCATCTCTGGCACTGCGCTGTTCGTGTTGGCATGGAATGGAGCAGATCTACGGCCCTATCTTTGGCTCTGCGCTGTTGACACGACGCTGTAGGCATTACGAGGAGTGGCTCCACGCTCCTATCTCTGACACTGTGGTGTTGACACTACTCTGTTGGCATTACGCTGTGGACACCACGCTGTTGAAACGACGCTGTTGACACTACGCTGTTGACCCTGCGCTGTTGACACTGCGCCGTTGGCACAACGTTGTTAACACGACGCTGCTGACACTACGATTTTGACACTGCGCTGTTGACACTGCGCTGTTGGCCTTGCGTTGTTGACACGACGGTGTTGGCATTTTGCTGTTGCCACTACGTCGTTGACACTACGCTGTTGGCACCACGCTGTTGACACTACGATGTTGACACGGCGCTGTTGGCACTACGTTGTTGACACGACGTTGTTGGCATTACGCTGTTGACACGACGTTGTTGACACTACGCCGTTGACACTACGATGTTGACATTACGCTGTTGACACTACGTTGATGACACTGCGCTGTTGATTTTACGCTGTTTGCACGACGCTGTTGACACTGTGCTGTTGACGCTACGCTGTTGACACCTATGCTGTTGACACTACGCTGTTGAGACTACGCTTTTGACGCAACGCTATTGACCCTACGCTGTTCAAACCATGCTATTGACACTGCGCTGTTGACCCTGCGCTGTTGGCACTACGCTCTTGAAACTAAGCTGTTGGCACTACGCTGTTGACCCTACGCTTTTCACACCACGCTGTTGACACTGCGCTGTTGACCCTGCGCTGTTGACCCTGCGCTGTTGACATTACGCTGTTGACGCTACGCTGTTGACAGTACGCTGTTGACACTACGCTGTTGACACGACGCTGTTGACACTACGTTGTTGACACTGCGCTGTTGTTACTGCGCTGTTGACACTACGCTGTTGACGCGACGCTGTTTGCACTACGTTGTTGGCACCACGCTGTTGACACTACGCTGTTGATACTACGCTGTTGACACTACGCTGTTGACACTTCGCTGCTGGCACTACACCCTTGACACTGCGCTGTCGGCAGTACGCTGTTGACACTACGCTGTTGACACTACGCTGTTGAAACAACGCTGTTGACACTAAGCTGTTGACACTGCGCTGTTGACACTACGCTGTTGACACTACGCTGTTGACACGACGCTGTTGACACGACGCTGTTGACACCACGCTGTTCACACTACGCTGCTACGCTGTTGACACTACGCTGGTGACACTTCGCTGCTGGCACTACACCCTTGACACTGCGCTGTCGGCAGTACTGTGTTGACACTACGCGGTTGACACTACGCTGTTGACACTACGCTGTTGACACTTCGCTGCTGGCACTGCACCGTTGACACTACGTTGTTGACATGTTGTTGTTGCCGCTACGTCGTTGATACGACGCTGTTGACACCACGCTGTTTACACTACGCTGCTGACCCTGCGCTGTTGACACCTACGCCGTTGACACTACGCTGCTGACACTACGCTGTTGACACTACGCTGTTGACACTACGTTGTTGACACTACGCTGTTGGCACTACGCTGCTGGCACTACACCGTTGACACTACGTTGTTGACACTACGCCTTGACACTACGGCGTTGACACTATGCTGTTGACCCTGCGCTGCTGACACTGCGTTGTTGACTTTACGCCGCTGACACAGCGCTGCTGACACCGCGCTGTTGACACCTACGCTGTTGACACTACGCTGTTGACACTACGCTGTTGACATTACGCTGTTGACACTACGTTGTTGACACTACGCTGTTGACACTTCGCTGCTGGCACTACACCGTTGACACTACGTTGTTGACATTTTGTTGTTGCCACTACGTCGTTGATACGACGCTGTTGACACCACGCTGTTGACACTACGCTGCTGACCCTGCGCTGTTGACACCTACGCTGTTGACACGACGCTGTTGACACTACGCTGTTGACACTACGCTGTTGACACTTCGCTGCTGGCACTACACCCTTGACACTGCGCTGTCGGCAGTACGCTGTTGACACTACGCTGTTGACACTACGCTGTTGAAACTACGCTGTTGACACTAAGCTGTTGACACTGCGCTGTTGTCACTACGCTGTTGACACTACGCTGTTGACACGACGCTGTTGACACCACGCTGTTCACACTACGCTGCTACGCTCTTGACACTACGCTGTTGAAACTACGCTGTTGACACGACGCTGTTGACCCTGCGCTGTTGACCCTGCGCTGTTGACCCTGCGCTGTTGACACTACGCTGTTGACACTACGCTGTTGACACGACGCTGTTGACACTACGCTGTTGACATCACGCTGTTGACCCTACGCTGTTGACACTACGCTGTTATCACTACGCTGTTGACACGACGCTGTTGACACTACGCTGTTGACACTGACGCTGTTGACACTACGTTGTTGACACTACATTGTTGACACTACGCTGTTGACACGACGCTTTTGACACTACGCTGTTCACCCTGCGCTGTTGACGCTACGCTGTTGACACTACGCTGTTGACACTACGCCTTTGAAACTACGCTGTTGACACTGCGCTGTTGGCACTACGCTGTTGACACTGCGGTGTTGGCACTACGCTGTTGACACTACGCTGTTGACACTACGCTGTTGACGCTACTCTGTTGATTCAATTCACTGTTAAGACGCACTCTCCAATGGTGGTCGTATCGTATGGGGCCGTCTTGGGAAGAATCGCATTTCGGACGCCTCCGCGCCAATGGCCGAAGTTGCACGCACACGCGCGCAGAAGCCGCGCCCTGACAGCGCATCGACAGAACCGAAAATTGTTGAAGACATACCTATACGATCACATGCAGGTCAACTGAATGGGCCGCCGAGCCAGTGCAGAGCCTCGGGGCATACACGCTGGACCCCTTGTCCCAGCGCGTCGCGGGGATGAGCTGCACAACTGACAATTTCAGCCGACGCGTAGGATACAAATTCGCCACGACCTGCAGCATCCTCTGCCGGCGCAGCTGGCGGACAGGATAGGAGTGTCAGAGACGCGGCCTGGCTGGAGTCTCCACTCACACGCTGCGTGGCCCCCGACGCGCGCCGGCGGATTCACAGAACCAGAGGCCCTGCCTCCCATCCAGACCAGCGGTCTGGCGCACGGCGCTCGAGTTCTGCAGCAGTTTGGTAGGATTTGCTCGAATGCAGACAGGTTCTGGTATTTCAAACAATTGTCCTCAACAATTTTTGAAGCGACAGCATCCACGCCTTGAAACGGCAGCGCCCCGCGTGCTTCCTCCCGCCTCCTCCTCTTCCTCCCTCCTCCTCCCTTCTCCTCCCTCCCACTCCTGCCTTTGCCCTCCGCACGTCCACTGCGGCGCACCTCTCAAGCGTTTCGTGGCCCCATACACCACCGAAAATCCCAGTGGCGCAGTTCGCGTGCAATCCCGCACGAATTTCGGCACACACATCACACTTTTCGTGGCCCCGAAGGGAACTCCACCGAAGGTCCTAGTGGCGCAGTTCGCATGCGGTGCCGCACCCATGTCGGCACACCCCTCACACGTTTCGTGGACCCACAAGAATTCTACCGAAGATCCCAGTGGGGTAGTTCGGAGGCGGTCCCGAACACATTTCGGCACACCCCTCACACGTTTCGTGGCCCCATATGGAGCACCACCGAATGTAGCAGTGTCGCAGTTCGCCTGCGTCCCCGCCACCCATTTCGGCACACCTCTCACACGTTTCGCGGCCCCATAGGAAGCTCCACCGAAAGTCCTGGTGGCGCAGTTCGCATGCGGTCCCGCCCCAAATTCGGCAGACCCTTCACACTTTGTGTTGCCCCATAAGGAGCTCCACCGAAGGTCCCAGTGGCGCAGTTCGCATGCATGTCGTCGAACCCCTCACATGTTTCGTGGCCCCATAGGGAGCTCCACCGAAGGTTCCAGTGGCGCGGTTAGCTTGCGGTCCCGCACCCATGTCGGCACATCCATCACACGCTTCGTGGCCCCATGGGGAGCTCCACCGAAGGTCCCAGTAGCGCAGTTCGCATGCGTCCCCGCCAGCCATTTCGGCACACTTCTCACAGGTTTCGTGGCCCTATGGGGAGCTCCACCGAAGGAGCCAGCGGCGGAGTTCGCATGCGTCCGCGCCACCCATTTCGGCACACCCCTCACACGTTTCGTGGCCCCGTGGGGAGCTCCACCGAAGGTCGCACTGGCGCAGTTCGCAGGCAGTCCCGCACCCATGTCGATACAGCCCCCACACGCTTCGTGGTCCCATTGGGAGCTCCACCGAAGGTCCCAGTGACGCAGTTCGCATGCGCCCCCACCATCCATTTCGGCACGTTTCGTGGCCCCATAAGGAGCTCCACCGACTGGACCAGTGGCGCAGTTCGCCTACGTCCCCGCCACCCATTTCGGCACACCCTTCGCACGTTTCATGGCCCCGTAGCTCGCATGCGTCCCCACCACCAATTTCGGCACACCCCTCGCACGTTTCGGGGCCTCATGGGGAACTCCCCCGAAGGTCCCAGTGGCGCAGTTCGCATGCGCCCCCGCCACCCATCCCTCACACCACGTTTCGTGGCCCCGTGGGGAACTCCACCGAAGGTCCTGGTGGCGCAGTTCGCAGGCGGTCCCGAACCCATTTCGGCACACCCCTCACACCACGTTTCGTGGCCCCGTGGGGAGCTCCACCGAAGGTCCCGGTCCCCGCCACCCATCTCGGCACAACCCTCGCACGTTTCATGGCCCCGTAGGGAGCTTCACCGAAAGTCCCCGTTGCGCAGCTCGCGTGCGTGCCCACCGCCAAGTCCGGCACACCCCTTCCGCGCCCTTCCAGAAATCCGCTGCCCATATACGATCCGATCGGCCATCCCCTCCCGAAGGCAGAGCAGCAAATCTGTCTCGGCGGTCTGCTCACTACTGACAGCAGTGCCAGGTGCGCCGTGGCACGCAGGCCGGGCGAGGCGCGCAACTCCTTCACGCTCCTTCAGAAGGTCTGCAACCATTCGTCGTTAAGCATGGCAAGGAAGCAACACTTTCACGAAGCATGTGTCGCAGCCAAATTGTTTTACAGCTTGGAGACGCAACGATTGAACAAGGCAGAACTTTCTCACATCAATTCGTTCTCCGTGTGTTGCTTGCGGGAGATATGGGGCATCCCGCATCCGATGATATCCCGTTTGTCCAACCAGGAGGTTCTGAAGGCAGCGTCGTCGAGCCCGCTGGCAGACAAGTTAGTCGCCAAACAGATGTGTTTGTTTGGACGGGTGGCCATGATGCCCGACTTGTGTATCGCGCGACGTTCAATTATCCGGCCTTCATCCACATTGTTGGCACGGCCGGAGGGAATTCGAAAACGAGGGCGCCCAAGGGTGTCGTGGGGCCAGAGAGTCAGGGCGCATGCACTGAGCGCCGCGTAGCAGGACGAGGACCGGCTAGCAACAGCGCTGTCGAATCGTAGCGGCTCGTTGCAGAATTGGACGGGCATTGTCGGGCAGCAATGCCGTTGTCTTTCACAGGGGCTTGCCTGCTCACCGTCCTCGCCCCCCCCTCCCCCTCCCCCCTCCAGCGCGAGCTAAGCAGGCGAGCCACTGTGAAGGCGCGTGTACGTTTCACACACCATTTGCACTGCAGCCGATGTGCCGTCATGGCACGGTTTCTTCGTCCGTTCGTTCCTTCCACGCTTCGGGGCCCCATGGGGAGCTCCCCCGAAGGTCCCAGTGGCGCAGTGCGCATGCGTCCCCGCCACACATTTCGGCACACTTCTCACACGTTTCGTGGCCCCGTATTCTCGCCCCTGCGCTTCCAGATGTCCGCGCCCCCCTTTCACGGCGAGGGGGCAGCGCGTGCGCGCACGAGGCGAATTGAGCATTGCTTGGGCGAGGAGGGCGGCCGTTTCGCCCCAGGCTTTCCACGTCGCAGGGCCCACGCCGAGGTTCACGGGCGGGGCCTTCTCCACGCGGTCTGGAAGCCCCCTCAGCATTCATCTTCAGAAGGTCGCAGTGTGGGAGGCGAACTCCAGCAAGATGATCAGCCCAATGCTCGGACCACCAGGCGGAGATGGAGGCGTCGTCGGTCAAGAGGACCCCGTTCTTGTCCTTCAGGCTCGGATGTGGCTTGTAGAGACCAGAATGCAATTGCCGGGCAATGACGCGGAGAGTGCCGGAGTCATGCTTGGCAGCGGCGACGTTCGCCTTCACCGCTGTGTCAGCGGCCCACTTGTCCATGTCCTGCGCAATCTAAGTGGGCGCCGCGGCCTGGCGGCGGCGGAAGAAGAACAGGGCATGAGCTTCTCGGCGCAGCAGCAGCAGCAGTAAATCGCGACAGCCTTAGAGCGGAGGGGGGTGCGTGCGAGGCTGCAGCAGTTGGTGAGATACCGCGCAGCTGCACGAACAACGTCTCCAAGTGGTAGGCGAGGGCCTTCACGCCACAGCAATGCACCACTTAGACCACGCACATGCAAATATAATGCATGCGACGGGCACGGCGTCGCTGAAGAAGGGCAGAACGTAGCGGGGGCGTCTGCATTGCGACTTCAGCTGTGTGCCATGAGGTACACGGCTTCCGGGGATGCGTCGCGTCGGCCGGCGCATGGGAGCACACCGTCCGGGCCGCGTTCACGAGGGCGAGAACGCGATCATGTAAGGCCTCGGGCGATGGATCTCCAGCGAGCGCGGCAGCGAGGTGTTGCCACAGAAAGTTTTGGAAGACGAGCTGGGTGGAGGGATCGTTCACGAGGGCTCTGCTCAGTCGCGACGCGGGGGGGGGGCCCAGGGCTGGGCGCGGCACGCGGAGGTAGCCTCAAGCATGTGTATACCATACGTAATGTGGTCGATGTGGTCTTTGCTGTTCAAGTGCACAGCAGCGTCGGCGCCGGCCTCGTGTCATTCGGGAGTCAGTGACTGCGACGCGCACACAGAATCAAAGCGCCGACTTTCGTGTTGCCAGCGACCACCAAGCCGCGTAGGGAGAGGCGCGGCAGCATTCATGGAGCTGGCGTACAGCACGAAATCCTCTAGGGCGACTCGCAGATGAAAGCCGTTCGCGTTCTCGACGGCGGGGTCCACGCAAAGGATAGCAGGGCTATCCACCGAGCCCATCGTAGGATTCCCATCTATGCACAACATGACATTGCGCCGGGTGTCGACGTGCCTCAATTCCTGCCGCCGGGAGTCCCAAAATTTGGTGCGTTCATCTTTTGACGCCTCGTTGCAAGGCGCATGGGCGACAACGTGCACGAAGGAAAACGTTGGAGTTTCAACGAGAAGCTCAGAAGACGAGGACCAAGAGCACGCGGTCGTGGTCAAGCTCCCTGCAGAAGACGCTTCTGGACCGAATTTTCCACACCCAGGGCGCCGTCAGCGAGGGCGCCTGAGGTGGGCGCAGCGTAGTTGGGCTGGTCCCGAATAACCGAACCTTGAGGCAAGATTCTTGAATACCAATAACAGCGTAGGACGAAGTGTGAAATGATAGATCAAGGAACTCGATCTTGCCGCTAGTGTTGAGCCCGAGCCTGCCAGCACGCCGGATTCCAGCAGGATCCAACGTTTCGACGTTCGCAGTCGCAGCTCTCGCTGGGACTGTAATTCCTGGCCTGGCTTCGCACAGGCCGCCTTTAGAACCTTCCTAGATGCGCTCGGCCAGTAGTCCTTCCGAGTCTTCTCGGGCGGCTGCTTGCCGTGCGGGCGCGTCGGAACAGCAGCCATGGGCAGCCATGGGTTCGGTATCCGGCTGCGGCGGGGGCGGCGGCTTGCTCACCCTGCGAGCGAGGGGCTGGCGGTCTGCGAGGGCGGCCGCCTGGGCCCGTGCCACTGTCGACTGGAAGCCCGCGGCGAGCTGCTGGGAGAGATCGCGAGCGACTTGGAGATGAGCTGGGTCGGCGTGCCCCGCGGCTGCAGGCTCGAGGGCGGGCCGGGAGGGGCCGTGACCGTCGCGGATTGGAGAGCCCCCACGCCCTCGGCGAGCTGGGCGCGCTCGGCCGCCGCTGCCTCGAGAGCCAGCCGCGCCTTGGAGACGGCCTCCGCGGCAGCAGCCTTGCGAGCACGAGCACGAGCACGAGCACGAGCACGAGCACGAGCCTTGCTTCTTCCTCCTCTGTCATTATCATCCTCCTCCTCCTCCTCCTCTTCCTCCTCCTCCTCCTCCTCCTCCTCCTCCTGCTCCTCCTCCTCCTGCTCCTTCCTCCTCCTCTTCCTCCGCCGCTGCCCTGCGGGAACTGCACGAGCACGCTAGAGGGCCACCACGGCTCCGTCCAGGCGAGCTCCAGGACGTGCCGAACTCCGGACGCGGGCGACCACGTCGCCCAGCTGATCTTGCAACGATTTGCGTGCCGAGGCCATTACTGTGAGCTGGGGCAGCGACGAGGTGGAATCCTCGAGCTGCTTCTCGATGTCCTTCAGGGGGCGCTCTGGCGAGGAGCTCGCGGTGGCCGCCGCGCCAGTCGGAGGGCTGGAGGACGGAGGTGAGGAAGCCAGAGCAGACGCTGGAGTTGCCGTTTGCGTGAGCAGGGCGTCCATTTCCTGTAGTTGGGCACGCACCAGGTTCCCTGAAAGCGGCGGTGACGGTGAAGGTGTCCCCCCCCCCCTTGGATTATGTCCGGGGTTACCTCACTAGGCCAGGGGCGGCGCCGCGATCAAACCCTCTGTTGTGGATTGACTCCAGAGTAAGTTCGCAGGGCCAAGCGGCGCCCTGATCCACCCTCCCCCATGGATTAATCCCGGAGCTTACTCACGGGGCCCAGGGCGGCGCCCTGATCCACCCCTCCCCCCGTGGATTAACTCTGGAGTAAATTCGCGTGGCCAAGGGCGGCGCCCTGATCCATCCCTGTCCCGCGGATTAACTTTGGAGTTCACTCACGGCGCCCAGGGCGGCGCCGCGGTCCGTGCCTCCCTTGTGGATTTACTCCGAAGTTAATGGTGGATCCTGCAATCGGTTTTCCCGTGGATTAACTCCAGAGCTAATTATTCCCAGGGTGGATCGCCGCGCCATTTCTCCCGTGGATTAACTCCAGAGGTAGTTATGTGATTCCCTCCTAGAGTAAGCCGATTCTCTCCTCCTCCTCCTCCTCCTCCTCCTCCTACTCCTACTCCTACTCCTACTCCTACTCCTACTCCTCCTCTTCCTCCTCCTCTTCCTCCTCCTCATTTTCCTCCTCCTCTTCTTCCTTCTCTGCCGTTCTCCTCCTCCTCCTCCTCCATCTCCTTCTCCTCATCATCATCCTCCTCCTTTCCCGCTTCCCCTCCACGGGCTCTGGCGATGGCAACGATGTTGACGACTTTCCGCAGCAAGGATGGCAACAGCCACAGCGGCGACGGCCACGACGGCGACGACGGCGACGACGTCGGCGAGGACGGCGGCGGCGGCGACGGCGAAGACGACGGCCGCGACGCAGGCGAGCCGCGCCCTCGTGCGCGACGCGCTCTCGGAGGTGGCGGACGTCCTGGGCGACCTGCGGTTCCGGGGGCTGGCGAGGCGGCAGGCCAAAGGGCTGGGTAGGGGGGAAGAGAGAGGTTCCTCCTGCTCCTCCTCATCCTCCTCCTCCTTGCCCTCCTCCTCCTCCTCCTCCTCCTTGCCCTCCTCCTCCTTGCCCTCCTCCTCCTCCTCCTCCTCCTCCTCCTCCTTCTCCTCCTTTCTGAGCAAGCCGCTGGGCGCGCCACCCGTGGCGTCAGCCTCCTCCTCATCCTCCTCCTCCTCCTCTTCCGCTGCCCTGCGGGGACTGCACTTGACGGTGCCGTCCGACGAGGCGGGCCGCCCTGGGCAGGTAAGTAGGGTAGGCGACGTCGTCGTCGCCGTCGTCGTGGTACGCTTGCCTCCTCCTCCTCCTCTTCCTTCCTCCTCGCCCTCCTCCTTCTCCCTCTTTTCGGCCTTTATGCCAATGATCCCACGGTGTGAGACCAGCAGCAGATGGGGGGGGCAGTGGGGAGCTGGGCCAAGTGGGGTCTGTAGTCGGGCAGCTTCACGCCCGATGGATGGGAATGCTCTGGCCAAAGAAGGCATTGGTGCTGGGATCCATGCCGCTAGTCAGGGGGGCGAGCGAACGGGCCGCCTCCCTGTTCTCTGGGAGTCCCTTGCACACCTAAGCCAGATTTCGGACCCAGACCCGCCCGAATCGCCCGCACCACGCACACCAAAACATCGGGGAGCCATAGATCTCCTCCACACCAAAACATCGGGGAGCCATAGATCGAATAATGCGCGCGGGAGCCATAGATCTCCTCCATAATGTGAGTGGGGTGGGTGAGTCTGATTACCTCTGGCAGTCCAGTCGTGGGTATAGAACCAGGGCGGTATAAGTTCATCCGTGGGGAAAGCAAACGCGGCGCAAAACGCTCTTCCCACAGAGGCTTCTCTGGCCAGGCGCTATCAGAAGGTCCGAGGGTTCACCGCTCCTCTTAGCTGTAATTTTCTCTACGTCGCACAAACTGGTCTTGGAAGGTTGATCAGCAACAGGCTTGAAGAGCGAGCAAGGCAACGTTAGCCGCTGCAGGTCGTGCCAAGAATTCATATGCTTGGTTGGCGTGCCTGGCCCACGATGGTCTTATGGGCTGGCGCCTCAAAATAGTTATGTACTTCCCTCCCCTCTGTCACGAGCTCTAGAGAACACTTCTTCCCACAACTCACCGAAGGTCATGTCGGCGACATTATGATTCCAACCCAGGGCCCAGGCATCAATGACGGACCTGCAGTCGGCTCCCAAAACGATCTCTCCTGGACCCGACTTCCTCAATATCGTCGTGAGCACAGCAAACAGATCGGCCCCGATGATGTCCTGGAGCGGATGAGGCGGAGGGCCGTGCGCACTGGTCAAGGTGTCGCTTTTCGCACTGGCCATGGCGACAGCCCATCCTCATCTTCCTCCTCCTCCTCCTCCTCATGATCATCATCGTCATCATCATCATATTCATCATCATCATCATCATCATCATCATCATCATCATCATCATCATCATCATCATCATCATCATCATCATCATCAGCATCATCATCATCATCATCATCATCATCATCATCGTTTTCTTTTTCCTCCTCTTCCCTCCTTCGCCTTCGTTTCCGCCCCCCTCCCTCCTCTCTCCTTCCTCTCTCGTCCCTCCTGCTCCCCTCCTCCATGGCCGAACCGTCAGAACACAAAGTACCTTGGACATACCCCTTAGGTGGGGATACCACCCAAATCCATGTATTAAGGGGTCGTTGGGGATTTGGGATAGCTTGTGCGGGGAGGAGAGGAGGCTCCGAGCGAGGACGGGATCTCCAAGCCCCCCTTTCTCCCAGGTTCGCCTCTCTTGAAGTCGTCGATCTCCCGTGAACACAAACCAGGTCCTTGGACAACCAAGAAACTTGAGGAACTTATCGCCCCGGAGACAACCACACATTATGCATTCACCAGTCGTCAGGACACGAGGATCATGAAGTAAGTTCTCGTGATTAACCATTCCATTTGCCACATGCTTGGCCACAACATACGTTTCAAGCGATTTGCCACTCGATCCGGATTCCCCGTACACCTTAGCCACAGGGTCCAGCAACGTCTCGATGTAGCTTTATTATTGGCGTACCCATGTGAGAGACTTGCTGGGCTATTCTTCAGTTCCCATATCAACGAGTTGCCTGAGGCTCCGAGCTTTGAACTTGTCGAGGTATACGGGCATATCATTTGGCAGCTTCTAGACGGTGGCACGGCGGGATAACATTCGAGCTTCTGGAGGGTACACAGAACAGCTCCAGTAGGCCCCCAGACATCCTCCCAAGAAAACGCTGGCCTGCTGAGGCAGTGCCTTCTTCAGCGCGCCTTTCCCCTAACAAGCAATAGTTGGGGATTGGCAACCTACATAGGGTCGGCCATCCCGTTACCGAAAGCATAACGTGGACTGTTCTCGACCGATTGTCGGCCGCTCCACTACAGCCATCCGCCATAGCTGAACGCAGAGTCTGAAACCGCTAGGACGCCGTTCCTACCACACCCATACCATACCGAGCTGCTGGAAGCGCTCCGACATTCGGAATAGTCGTGCGCTTTCTGAGCCGAGACTTTAGCGAGCGACATCTCCCTGCACGATTGATTTTCTTCCCGATCCGAGCCTTCTGAAACCGAACCGATACACCACCTCCGACCGAGCAGTCGCCTCCCGCTTTGCGGGCGGAGCGGACTGACTTGGAACCCCCGTGTCTGGGCACAGCGCGAGACTCCTTGGCCAGATCAGCGTTGATTGCAACGACGAGGCCCTTCGTGCGAGAGGTAACGAAGCGCGACTTCTCCCGTGTCCTGCAGGGAGCACGAGTGGCCTGAACGACCGTCCACGTGGTTTTACGTGTCCAGGTCACCCAGGGGAGTCTCGAGCATGGTTGTCCCGAGAAGAGACCGAGTCGATTTACGTGTCAGGGCCACCCAGAGAGCAAAATGCGTTCTCTCAGTACGACCAGCCAAACCTTTCCAAAAGTTTATGAAAATCAAGCTCAGGTTGTCACTTTGTCTCTTCGGACCAGGTCGGCCGACTAGCTGCACCCTGCGCCCAGAGTCCTCCAGCTCTAGTCAAAACAAGAGGTCTACGAGGTACGCCCAGCGCGTTCCGACAGGTCTTTTCTTAGCGTTGTCCAAGACGCGTGTACGGAAGCTCTCCAGAAGCTTCTTCGGAAGCTCTCTCCAGGTCCTTCCAGAGAACTCCGACAGGCCTTCGCGCGCCGTTGGGGAGCTAGGACGGCTTTAGATTTGATGGCGGGATCGCAGGGTAGGCCAGCCCCTCGGCAAGGCCCCTGGTCAGGCACCCCGCGGCGCCCTGCTTGCATTGGCAGCGGGTCTCGAAGCGGCTTCCCACCCGCTCACAATACGCGCGCCTGAAGCCTTTTTCCGAAGGTCCTTCGAAGCTTTTCCGAAGCTCCTGCGAAGCTTGCTTTCCGAAGCTTGCAATCTTTCCAGCCATGCTCTCCAGCGCCCTGACAGGCGCCCCCCGCAGGCGTTGCCAAAAAACTTGCAAGCTCCCCAGGCATGCTTTTCAGCGTGTTCGGAATTGCACAAGTGATTCCCGGATAGCCCCTTCGGAGAGCTAAGAGGGTCTATATTAAGAAACCGGAGACGCCAGGCAGTGCTGCGCCAGCACCTCTCCAGAGCTCCCGGCCAGGCAGCGTCGCAGCGAGTAGCGATGCTGGGGACGGTGCTTCAAGCTGCAGCGTGACCCGAGAAGCGTTTTCCTACAAATCCCCCACACGCCTGCCTGAAGCCTTTCCGCGGGCCCTTCGCAGCTCCTTCGCAGCTTGCTTTGCGAAGCTTGCAAACTCCCCAGGCATGCGTGCCAACATGCTGACAAGCGTTTCCCAGGCAGGTTTGCTGCGCTTCAGGCAGCCGCCAAGCTGCTCTGGGAAGCGAGAGAAACTGCCTGGACCTGAGCAGGTGGGAAAATTGTTCCGATCTGAGCAGGTCGTAAAACTGTTTCGACCTGAGTCCGGCCTGAGCAGGTCGTTGAATTGCTCCGACCTGAGCAGGCCGTCAAATGTGCTCCGACCTGGGCAGGTCGCAAAATTGCTCTGACCCGAGCAGGGCGCGAAACTTCCGGGGTAGCTCCTTGGAGAGCCAAGGAGGTTGCAGAGCAGAGGCCGGCAGGCAGGGCCACGCTAGCCCCTCTCCAAGGC